TCCTGTTTCTCTGAAACTCCAACTGGACCAAAAGTAACTTGCTGCTTGTTCAGTCAGAGCTGAAAGCATGAGCTGAAAGCACGCTCGTGCAGGAGTAGTCAGAAGGCGCCTCCTGCAGGACATTAGAGAGAGCGCAGGTTTAAGAAGCTAGCGTTATTGTGGCGGTTAGCTCGCAGTGACAGGAATGTTTGCACGTAGCAGCTCAGGGTAACCCTGCTGTGTGCCTGCCTTCAGAGAGGTACAACTTCCTGGGCATCAGTATTGTCGGTCAGAGTAACGACAGAGGGGACGGAGGCATTTACATCGGCTCCATCATGAAGGGCGGAGCGGTGGCGGCGGATGGACGCATCGAGCCGGGAGACATGCTGCTGCAGGTGCCGCTCATGCCGTTTAATCCGCTTCCTGTTTTAAAGGTGGCGGTGAGCTCACGATGCTGTGTCGTCTGTGTGTCCGTCAGGTGAACGACATCAACTTCGAGAACATGAGCAACGACGACGCCGTCCGGGTCCTCCGGGAGATCGTCCACAAACCGGGGTGAGACCTTTTGCTTCATCCGTAAGATCGCCATGGTAACCAGGGCTGATCACGTGGTTTAAAGTCAGCTTTGATATATCTGACAAATGAATCCGTGCAGGAGCTCAGGTGTTCTTCCTGCGTCGCAGTGGAGACGCTGCATCAAAGGAACGCTTTAACCAGACCGTCGAGTCAAAGCGGTCAAAGCGGTCAGCTCCGAGTTGGGCTTCATCGATTCTGCTGCTTTGGTCTGAATGAGATCAACAGCAGGCGCTCTGAGCTAGTGTTTGCCAATCTTTTGGAGCATCAGAAACATCACACTGCACTTCCCCCGCGCCTCAGGCATGGTGGGCGGGGCTCGGTTTGTCCCAGTACACCTGTTTTGCTTTCTGCTGAGCACCACTGATGCTAGGGCCTTCTCCAGGACCCACGTCAGACTGACTGCTCTTTCTCTTCAAATATTTATCTATTGCTATCACGGCTGCGTCGTCTCACAGCACGACCATTATGTCATTTCTTCTTTGTCTGTTGGCAACCCATCGAATTAGAGCAGCTCGTTGTGCTGCCTCCTAGTGGAAGAGGATGTAATTGTTCTGCCCGTTACTCACGCCGGTTAGAGTACCAATCAGGTGGAACCAGATAATGTTCCACAGTGGTTGGGAAGCACTGGACTAGTGCGAGGACCCGACCCCCAAAACAGGAATGCTTTTTACAGGTGAACCTCTGACGTTTTCTCGTACTTGTTTTCTGAGTTGAACATTTGAGGCCCAATAGTAATGGCGGAAATTTGGAAGGGCTAAGCCGCCTAGATTTCAGGCCTCTGTAACAGATCCAGGCGTATTCTAGGTTTTTTCCCATCCCATATAAATGAGATCAGAGCTTTATCAATAGATTTAAAAAATATTTCGGAAGGTAAAGTGGGATACACTGAAAAAGATAAAGAAACTTGGGGAGTATGTTCATTTTTATACAATTTACCTTCCCTGCACACGATAAATGAAGTGGCTTCAATTTCTTTAAGTCTGATTTGACCTTTTCAAGTAGCGGACAGAAGTTTTCTTCATGCAGATCTCTTGTTATATTCACGCCTGGGTATTGAAAGCCGTTTTTGGCTGTTTTGAAAGGTGCAGCACTGCTCTGTATTTGAAGAGCCAGGTCATTAGCAGGATAGGATTCACTTTTACTGAAGTCCAGTTTGTACCCAGAGAAGGAGCCAAAGCTGC